GCTGCGGTTTTCGCTGGGGACGTCTCTGCCGTTGAGGGGGGGGACGCGGGCAAATCGCTGCTGGATCCGGCGCCGACACCGCACTGCATCTGTGGTCCCCATCGCAGCCGAGACAGCACGAGTATGTACAAAGTGGGGGCAGCGCAATAATAAATATCTGTGTGTCTCTTCCGAGGTTTGATATTCCTGCTCCGAACCAAAACAGTTTCCAAGCATCTTTCCTTCGTAGACTCTTGCTTGACTCGGTAAGTGGAAAGTTTCGCTTTAGAGTTCACTCGTGGTGGGGATTTGCTGTGCGCTCGCGTGGGATTTGTTCTTGTTGGAGGTTGTTTGCTTTAGGTTATTTTGCTTCTTTTTATCTTTTTTTTTTTTTTTCCTGGGGTGGGTGGCTTTTAACCCGCGATTTGGAAACTTTTCCCTCAAAAACTTGTGGTTCTGAGCATAGGGAGAGATCATCAGGGTCGGGCTTGCTCCAGCTGCTGGTGCTGACTCCTGATCGCAAACCTGCTGACGTGCACCGGGATGGGTACCACGATCTTAGGGTTTCGGGACGGCTCCCCTGTCTTGGAGTTGGCATTGCCCGCCTTGACCCGTTTCCATTTAGCCCGTCTGTTCTGGAACCAGATTTTCACCTGCACCTCGCTCAATTTGAGAGCGTGAGCGATCTGGGACCTCTCCGTCAGGGACAGGTACTTTTTGCAGTGAAACTCCTTTTCCAGCTCCAGCAGCTGCTCGCTGGTGAAGGCTGTTCGCCTTCGCCGGTTTTTGCCCGTGGATGTGGTGTTGGTGGAATTGGGGGGATTTTGGGGGTTTTCCTCCAGTGCGTTGCCAGAGTCCTCTTCCTTATGAGCCGCCTGGCCGGGGATGTTGTCGTCTGAGCTATAGTCTAGATCGCTGTCCATGGAGAAACTTTCCTCTTTGCCTTTCGCGTCCTCTTCTGCTTTGGGGTCCTCCTTCCCCTGGCCCCGGAGAGCCCCGGCTGGAAGCGAAGCAGAGGCCTTTCGTTAGCATTTGGTACCCTCCGTCCCGCGGCCACCGCGCCCCCCCGGCCCGCAGGTCCATCACCCGAAAATTGTTGAGTTTGCTTGTTTTTTTGGGGTGTCTTTCAGTTGGATTGTTTTT